TAAATTTGTTAGTCTCTAAGGTGCCACAAGTACTCCTGTTCTTTTTGCGGATACAGACTAACACGGCTGCTACTCTGAAAAATGTCATTATCAGTTTCTCTTACTAACGGAAGCAACCTGCCAGTCCCATAATATTTTATTGAGGATCACACTGTGTAATTATTATCTATTTTATCGTTGGAGAAAGACACAGATGGTAGAAATATTTGCATAGTGTTTTTCCATGAACAAAAAGGAACATAGGATTAATTATTTAGGGACAATCTGTGCTAAGCTACATAGTGTATCTTCAACATAAACTACAGTCATCTATGATACATGATGAATTGCTAAGTCTTTAGTCTGTTCAAAACAATTGTCAAATTTTAATTATTTGATTTTTTTTTGTAATAGTGGCTGATATTCACCTTTTTTGTTGAAGAATTTAATGTTTAATATTAGTACATATTGAAAAATGATGGCTTTTCTGAAGTTTTTGAAGCATACTCTGAAAGGTGCTGTTTTTTCAATATACTGCAGTTTGAACTGTTTATTGGTTACAGTGCAGTTTTAAATGTGTACAAAAGACCCTCTAATTGCTGTAGTTGTCATGATGCCAATATCTTGAGGGTAGATGCATTCCTGTATTTTTTCATTTCCTAATAAGCAGAAAGAAGGGATTCAGTTGGACCATGACTATTGCATGTTACTGTTGCCTACTAGAATTTTAATTGTATTGTTTGACTAAAACTACGTTCTGTAAGGCTCAGTGCCAATATGAGTCAAATGTGCAAAGTTTATCTGAACATTCTGAGAAAACCAAGATTTAGTCATCAAAACATATTCACAAAAAATTCATTGGAAAGAGGCAAAGCATTCTTCTTGGTAGACACAGAGTTTCTGAAATAATATATATTTGTTAAACACCCTGAAGTGCATAAACTTTTTCTCTTATAAACTTTTTTTAAGAAAACACTATACTTTCAAGTGTTCTCTCTCCTGTGAAATAAGAACTAAATTATTTGGAAATAATTCTATGTAAAACATTATTATTGGATATGGTAACATATATAACTTTGTTAAATTTATTATATATATTTCATTTAAATGTCTGTTATAATGTAGCACACTCATTTGGAAAAACATAAAGTTTAAATGTTTGCGTACCTATGGGTTTGATTTGGAATCAGGCTTATGAGAATATAGTACAGTCATCTTCCAGTGTATTCTCTTCATTAAAATTCAGGAGGCATTACCCTGTTCCCTGGCTTAACTGCAGTTTTTGCTGTGCTTTTGTTCCGTATGAATAGATGTTGTTGAAAGCCAAAGTGGAAGAGCAAACTTTTCAACGGCAGAATGAATCACTGAGCAGTGAGAATATCACAAAGTGTACAGACAATTCTACTCACAAAACTATTTTAAACTGACAACTAACTTTTCAATTTAAGGTAAGCATGCAGGTTTTTAACTGTTGAAAACTGTACAATAAATTATAATAATCTGCCTATTATTGAAGGCATCAGAATGGGTTGGAAAAGAGAGAAGTGAACAAAAAAATTAGCTAAATTTACAAACCTAATGATTGTTACTAGATACCATTTTAAAAAAGCAATAAAATACATTATAACTGAAGTATTCTGAATAAATGAGTCCATCTGAATTATTTTAAAGTCTAAATATAATTTTTAGATCTTTGAGGATGATGCTTAAAGCCAAATGAAAATTAGGAAATAAACATGTTTAGAAAAACTTCACAGTCTCTTAATAATGTTTAAAAGAGAAAAATACTTTAGTTTTAGATATATCTACAAAGTTTACACTTAAATCACTAAATGCTAATTTTCTTTTGCTCTAAATCTTCTTCTAAACATCTTTCTTAAATCCAATTTTATGAAATTAACTACAGTGTAAACAAAAAAGTGTTTTAGACATAAACACTTTTATTTACACTACAGTATAGTATTGTTGACTATGGATATAGGAAATTCTCTTCTTGTATAGAGCTTAATTAGTTAATGTTTGTACAGTACTTTGAAGATGTAAACTGCTAAGCACTAATTATTATTATTATTATTATTATTAGTTTATTATTTAATTTATTAAATTCTAACTGGATTAAGAGCAGTTTTAGTGCTCATGTGTCTAAGGATGTACAAAAACAAGACCACACTTTTTGGTATCTGCTTTTAGTTTGCATTTTCATGGTTTTTAAAAAATTTACCTCTATAAAGTGTTATGACCAGGGAAGAAGGTTACAGAGAAGAATTTAATTATGACAGGATGCCAACTTTGGAGCGTGGAAAACAAGAGAATGGAAATTATGTACCAGATATCAAATCTAGTGACCTTCAGATATCAACGAGGTTTCATCCTTGTTTTAGTTATAGAACATGGATCTTTTCTTTGTTGATGGGGGTAAGTATTTTAAACGTACTATTGCATTTCATATTGCAAGGAAAGTCTTGATAACTGTGAAGTTTTTCCTTTTGGGAAAGTTAATGAAATTAATCTCTTCACTGATGATGTTCAGGAGATGAAAATGTATAAATATTAAAATTCTGTGTTCAAACAGAAACATATTTAGCAACTATAAATACATTTTCTAGCTAAATACATCACTTTTGTAAATCTGTTCAAGGCAGTGGTTTTGTACCAAGGCTGAATTTGACCTGTAGTGTCCAAACATCACAATCTGAGAACATAAATCTGTTAGTGGCAAATATCAGGACACAGTCTTCCAGCAAGATGGTGACTGATCCTTTCCTTGGTCAGGATCTCTCCCAGGGGCCCAAAGGTGCTGGTGCCTTTGTCTTCTTAAGTGAAAGGGACAACTTGGAAAGGTTTTCTGCCCCTTTCTTTCATAGTCTAGTGAACCTTTGAAGAGGATTCTTCTGAAGGTCACCCCTCAAACCAAAGTTTATCCAGACAGTGAGGAAGGTGACATGGAGTCTGGTGGTGAAGGAGGCTCCATTCTCTTTCTTCCTTCACTTGTGTTTGCTAAAATGGAAATTGTTCTGTTTCCTGCCATTACTTTGACTTACAGTAATTCCAAGCCTCGTTCACCTTCTGATCCTTGAGTTCTTCAGTTCAGTCCACTTCCTTAACTAATTCCCTTGTTTTTTTAAAGTCTGCCCTTTTGAAATCAAGGACCAAGTTACAGATTTAGTTTTGTTTATCCTTCCATTTAGTTTAAACTGAATTAGCTCATGATCACTCAAACCAAGGCTGTCCCCTACCGGTTCTTCTATGTGGTCCTCACTATTCATCAATACTAGATCTAAAATGGCATCACCTCTTATTGGTTTGGTGACTATTTGGTGAAGAAATCTGTCAGCTATCACATCCAGGAAAATCTGGACCTTACTATTATTAGTAGCACCTGTCCTCCAATCTATAGCTGAGAAGTTAAAGTCTCCCATAATCACACAATTCCCAGTAGTATTTATTCATTAAATCATGAAAAAGGTCTCTATCCACATTGGATCCTGGGAGTCTATAGCACACCCCAAGCACTATCCCAGGGGACCCTCTGGCAGCTTTCTTTCTGAAAGTGATTTTGACTCAGACTCTCTTTTATCCATTCCATCACTTCTAATTGCTTTAGAGTCTACCTCAAAATTAATATACAATGCTACTCCACCACCTTTCCTTTATTTCTGTCTTTCTCGAACAGCACATACTCTTCAATACCTGTACTCCAGTCATGACTACAATTCCACCAGATTCCAGTGAGAATCTAGCAGCATCATTTGTTCCCACATGAAGGACAATCATGGATTCTTTCCTGCTCCAACTAGGATACTCTTCAGCCTCAGGTCCACATCCTGTATTTTAGCTTCCCGCAGAGAGCACACCCTTCTGTTCTCTGGATCAGCTGTGGTGACAGGCCTGTTAGTTCTTCTTAGTAGAGAGTCACCAGTCACATAGTCCTGCCTCTTCCTGGTGTTAGTGTGATTGTCTGGCCTGACTTCTGTTCTTTCTTGCTGCAAGTCCCCTTGTCTTTTGTTCTCCCTTGCAATCTTCTGCAAGTCATCCTCTGTCCTCCTTGGCTCTGAACTCTTCCCCTCTTCTTATAGGAGTAGCCACTCTTCTCTTCTTCCTTGCCCTCCCACCTAGTTAGTTACTGCCTTCTGTGCCCCTCCTTCATTTTACAACTCAGCATATTTGTTCTTGAGCTCTATTTCTCCTTCACTCGCCGGTCTTTTCCTCTGCTTGGTTCTCATAGTCACATGTTTCCACTGGCCACTTTCCTCACCCACAGTTCTCCAGTCCAGCTTACATCGGCAAGTCTTGACTTTTCCCTTCAGCCTCCTCTTGCCTTCCCTCCATCATCATCTTCAATCAACCATCATTTCTACCTGCATCCATTATGCCATTTCTTTTAAGGGTGTACTTCAGCAGATAATGGCTCAGACTACCATACCCATGATGAAACCCAAAGTGGGCCAACAAGGGAATGAGATGCGGATGCTTGTCTCTCAATGTGGGCTCAGTCTGATGCTCTGCTTAGGCCAGTTAGGCCTGGTCTACACTAGCGGGGAGGATCAGTCTAAGTTACGCAACTTCAGTTACGTGAATAACGTAGCTGAAGTCAACATACTTAGACCTACTCACCGCAGTGTCTTCACTGCAGTGAGTCGACTGCTGCCGCTCTCCCGTTGACTCTGCCTGCGCCTCTTGCAGCAGTGGAGTACAGGAGTCGACGGGAGAGCGCTCAGGGGTCGATTTATTGTGTCTAGACTAGACGCGATAAATCGACCCCTGCAGGATCGATCGCTGCCTGCCGATTCGGCAGGTAATGTAGACATACCCTCAGTCTCACCTGTTCTTCATGGGATGGGCCAATTCACTTCCTAGGGCACGCTGCTATCTCCCTTTCATTGGCCATCCGACAAACTGGCTCTCTTCTCAGAGTGGGAAGATATAAAATGGAGCACTGAAAGCACCTCCAAGATATAGTATACATAAAATATAAGAATAATTGGGTGGTATAGTGGTTTAAAACAGTAGAAGCATGATAATATCTGCATTATTTGCTTGGATCTTGGTGTATCTGCAGTTTTAGGGAGCGGAAGCCATAGAATTTGCACTCTCCTACATGGAAATAACTCAAGAAGGCAATAATGGGACATGAATGTATTGTTTTTCCTATGTTCTGAACCTATTAGGCCCATTAATCTTCTAAGGTCTGAGTTCATTCCCACCTAAATAAAAATGATTATTTTATTGTTGACTTCAAGTGGACCTGGATTAGATCCACAATCTGTGAATTCAGTAAAACAAACAAGGATAATACTCAAAATAAATATCTATTTCTTAAAAACAAAACAAAAAACCCCCAGATGATTTAAAAGGGTATTTAGGTGAGGGTCACTGAGATTCACAGGGCAAACTGCAAACAAGAAAAACACAGCAGCAGGGGCGGCTCTATGAATTTTGCCGCCCCAAGCACGGCAGTCAGGCGGCTTTCGGCGGCATGCGTACAGGAGGTCCGCCGGTCCCGCGGCTTCAGCGTACCCGCCGCCGAATTGCCACTGAAGCTGTGGGACCGGCGGACCTCCTGCAGGCATGCCGCCGAAGACTCCCTGACTTCCACCCCCACAGCGACCGGCAGGCCGCCCCCCACGGCTTGCCGCCCCAAGCACGCGCTTGGTGCGCTGGTGCCTGGAGCCTCCCCTGCACAGCAATATGGTGGAGAAAGATAAGAAACCAGTCCTTTCATCAGTGTACACAAAAACTCATACTGATTTTAATTCTGCATGTAGAGCATGGGCCAGATTGGGTATAACAATTAATACTTGCATGTGTGCATATAAATAGTATTCTGGATTCTGCCCTGTAAAATTGAGTAAATGGTGAGACTGTAATTCTCCAAAAGGGGTTATAATAATTCACATATTTCTAAATCAATTATGTATTTGTGAGGGCCTTAGTATAAATATAACAGGAAAAGCCAAAATTGAAAACCAGACTCTACATTTATGATTGGTCAGCTTTGTACAGGTAAGGTTTTTTCATAATCCAAACCTCAGCACACGGAATTCTTGAATTGCATATACAAGGTTTGGAACAATGTAAAAACCTGATTGTTCAAAACTATATGCCAAAAAGCATTCATGTACAATTTTGTGAGCATAAATTTAGAGGTTCAGTTGAGAGCCCTTTGATATTTTGGTCCTAAAAGATTCATTTTTATAATCAAGCTATTTCAAAATTCAATTATGATATGACTACCTTCTAAGCATTTCTTTATATATTTGCCAAGTCATTACACAATACTTAGCTCAGATGTGCTTGTACAATCCAATATTGTTTTAACAGCCAGCAAAGCATTTTCTTTTGACCTGTACAGCTTTTGATGTTTTGCTTCATTATCAATTGTACAAAGACTGTGTTATTAAAAGTTCAAAAGTACTTTATTTTGAAAGGATTACTGGTTTTCATTTGTCCATTTGCTCTTTTTATACATTTTTGACATTAATTTATACCATATTGTTGCTTTGCAGACTTGCCTTCTTGTTACTTCTGGATTTTCACTTTATCTGGGAAATGTTTTTCCATCTGAAATGGATTATTTACGTTGTGCAGCAGGTTCAGTAAGCATTCTTAATTAATTGCTGTGGCTGTCTGAGAATGCACACTATAATAAATAATTTTATGAACTTAATTTCCTTTTAATCTGTCTCTCTTCTTCATGCTCAAACTTTCTCCACCCATGTCATCATTTTATCCAACATTATACCTCTTCTCCCACCCAGACAATAAATGTTCCTTATGTAGGTTTTCGCTGTACATTAAAGCTAAAGGGTTTTCACAAAGAATTGTTAGTAATATTGTGCTTGTTAAACAGCTGCCTGTTTTCTCACCAAAAGTGAGATGTGGGATGGGTTGCAGTGATGCCCATGTATATTTTTTATATTATAAATTGTCTCCTGCTGCAGAGAAACCTCTAGGGAGGAAATTTCAGTTAAGATTCCCTTGTGGTCCCTCACCGTATATTTGTATCTGGTGGGTAGATGCTATTATGATAGATGGGTTTCATTCTCTCTCTCTCTCTTTCTCGGGTTTTATAAGGTGCACGTTACCAAGGTATCTAAATGTTAACAGAATGAAAGGTGTTCTATAAATATTATTACTTTATTAGTAAAATCTGTAATAATTTGACACTCTAACCATTGAACAACAAAGATAGGATTTTATGATATTGTTCCACTGTTGTGGTAATTTTTTTCATCTATCAAAATTTTACAACAGACACCAGTTTGAGAGTTAAAGAATAAGGTTGGCAGAACAGATCACGTTAAACTATACACAACCATGGTCAATTTTTCCTCTGGTATTTATCATCTCCATTTTAGATCTCCGTGGGTATGATGAAGTTAGCTCAGATTCCTTTGTATACTGAAATACTCTACTGTGTCATTGTTATTTTGGTGATATATATATCTATATATATACATTTAGCTATATGTAGCAATCTTGTTTCTAATTTAGGGCAAGACTGATACTTTATTCTGAGTAAAGGGCAGTGTAGTTGTATGACCACAGAAGCAGCTCAGGGAAGAGATTGTGTTTCAGAGAGTGCAACAGGAGAAAAACGAAAGTATTCTAAGGTTCACTTTGCCTCTTCTCTTTGTGTCTTGCATCAAGTGCAGCTTGGTCAGACTCATGGGTCAGAAAGAGAATATAAAGTCTTTACCAACATATTACAAATTGGGAATGATCCTGTTGCCATTGAAATCAATGATAAAACTCCCATTAACTTCAGTGGGAGCAGGATTAGGCCCTGTGTTAATGTTAACATGGGGGAGGGGAAGGGATTGTTGTTTTCACTCATTTAATCATTTTTCTTCCTTTAAAAATGTTCCCTCCTTTTTTGCTAACGTTAAAAATTGTAAATTAAGTGCTGGAGAGACACTATCGAGCATGTTAGCTAAATGCTAACCTGCTGTTATACTGGTTCTCATTGGCAAATTGACACTGTACAAATGTGGGACTCAAAGGGTGAACCCTGGCTCCAGTGAAGTCAATGGTAAAACTCCCATTGACTTCAGTGGGGCTGGGATTTCACCCAAAATATCCCTTGAACACAGAAGATGATTAATAGAGCTGAAAAAAATAATTTTTTTTTGGTTCAGTGGCTGAGCTAAAAAATCTGGAAAAAAACATTTGTTTAGTTTCATCGCTGGTAAAATGAGGGTCTGGCTAGAGAATCTTGCCTGTATGCTCGGGGTTCTGCTGATCGCCATATTTGGGGTCGGGAAGGAATTTTCCTCCAGGGTAGATTGGCAGTGGCCCTGGAGGTTTTTCGCCTTCCTCCGCAGCATAGGGCAGGGGTCGCAAGCTGGAAGATTCTCTGCGACTTGAAGTCTTTAGATCATGATCTGGAGATTTCAACAGCAGAGCTAAGGGAAAGTGGAGGGGTCAGCTTTTGTGGCCTGCATCATGCGGGGGGTCAGACTAGATGACCATATTGGTCCCTTCTGACCTTAAAGTCTATGAGTCTATGAGTCTATGAGACCCAAATTGAATTTTTTTTTCTCACTGAAACAAGAAAAACAAAAAAATATTATTCACATTGACCACAGTGTTTCAAATGGTGATTCAAAAGGACATTATGAAATGAAATGTTAATTTGAAATGACATTTTCTAAATGAAATTTTGATTAAAATGGATGTTTTCCAAACATAGTGTAGAAATGGGTTGTTTTGAAAATGTTGAAATGAAACATTTTGACATGTCCAAGATATTTTTTTCCCAGGGTTATTTTTGACCTGAATTCACAAATATGTCTGTGCCCTCCACAATACATTTTTCAGCAAATTTGCTATTTACTGAAAAAAATTACCTAGTTCTAATGATTAGTGAAGGAAGCACAGATGATGTGGAATTAATTTTTTTGGCTAAAAACCATTTTCTATAACTTTATTTTCATAGTTTTCTGTTTCACTTATAAATATCTTCTAACACTGCAGTAACATCCTAAATGTGTGGAATGGAATGGAGCCTGCAATGAAATACAAACCTCATAAGGGTGAACACTTGTGAGATAATAAGGTCCCTTCAGGAAAGTTTTCCTTTATGGAATGTAGACTATTTTTTCCCAGTACAACTCGCTATAGGCCACATTCTGCCCTCACATATACACAGCTTCCAGTGAAGTCATGGGGGTCACAAGTACAGTTCTGAAAACATAATATAACCCCACAAATTAGTTTTACAAGGATCTTCAAAATTGAACTATCGTGAAAGCTGGTCAATTTTTAGGTCTAACGACTTTGGCTTTGTCTCTTTAAAATAACACTAAGGGTCCAGGGTTTCTTTTGTCTGCTTTAGAACTTTAGGCTTGCTGGAATTAATTTAAACTAACAAAGGCATGAACTTTCTACAGAAAGATTGCTGTTCTTTCATTGAAAGCCTAGCTATTGCAGCATACACTTAACAGTGAGAGAGACTGTAGTTCATTACTGCTCTGAATCCCCTGGAATATTAAAATACAACCCATACTTGTTGCATTTGAGACAAGTGTGGCAGCCTTTCTCTGAATCTCCAAGCTTTTGTTTGCTTGTTTGACCCTTCATATTATTTGAATATATGTTTATGTTTTATTTATTTCTCCTTTTTCCCTCATATTATTCATTCACTTTCTAATGCAAAATGGATAAAGGAAAATTATTACAATATGTACTAGACCCTCTAAGAAACATGCATACTATTCTTATTAACATAAATTTATGCTTTTTTTGTAAGCAATTCTATTAATCTTTTGCTTCATTTATTTTTTCTAGTGTATTCCTTCAGCAGTTGTGAGTTTTGCTATAGCAAGAAACAAAGTTAATGTGGTAAGTGCTTGGAGGTTAAATGATTATTAATCTTTTATTCTTTGGTTAGCTGAAAAAAATTCTTTTTGCAATTGTTTTACAGATACCCAATTTCCAGATTCTATTTGTTTCTACATTTGCTGTAACAACAACGTGTTTAATTTGGTTTGGATGCAAACTTGTCCTTAATCCATCGGCAATAAATGTGAGTTATGAAAAAATTATCAGCCAACTATGTATTTGTCTTTCTCATAGACTTAGAGACTTTAAAGCCAGAAGGGACCATTATGATCATCTATTCCAGGGGTTCCCAAACTTTGGTTCGCGGCTTGGTCAGGGTAAGCCCCTGGCAGGCCACGAGACGCTTTGTTTACCTGAGCGTCCGCAGGTACGCCTGCTGTCAGCTCTCAGTGGCCGTGGTTCACCGTTCCCGGCCAATGGGAGCTGCGGGAAGCGACGCGGGCTGGGCCACCGCTTCTCGCAGCTCCCATTGGCCGGGAACAGTGAACCGTGGCCACTGGGAGCTGCGAGCGGCCGTACCTGCGGACGCTCAGGTAAACAAAGCATCTTGCAGCCCACCAGGGGCTTACCCCGAACAAGCCGTGAACCAAGTTTGGGAACCCCTGATCTAGTCTGAGCTCCTGCACATTGCAGGTCACAGAACCTTGCCCACCTACTCCTATAATAGATTCATAACTTCTGGCTGAGTAACTGAAGTCCTTAAATCATGATTTAAAGACTTCAAGTTACAAAGAATCCACCATTTACTCTACTTTAAACCTGAAAATGACTCATGTCCCATGCTGCAGGTGAAAAACCCCAGGGTCTCTGCCAATCTAACCTGTGGGAAAATTCCTTCCTGACCTCTCCTCTGTCTTTACATAACACATTGCTGACTAAGTTCATCAATAGTGTAATTTTATTTCAGTTATAACAGGGATTAATTTGGCTCCATAAACCTACATATTATGGAATATATCAGAAGGAATTATTCAGCAGAAATTTTCTGTAGTACTCTGAGTCACACAAGGCAGAAAGAGTATATATCTTGGGCCAGATCCTCAGCTGAGGTCAATGAGCATTTGCTAGCCAGGAATGGTAGGAGAACCTACCCACACTCCCTATTCTGACAGCTGAGATAAATGGAAGGTATAGGAGTCACTGTTTCGACTTGGCACCACCCAATGATCTTTCTACATGGGAGGAGGGGAGTGTCTGCCAGATGTAGGATCATGGGCGGTGGGTGAAGCCCAAGGCCCCACCCCCTCTTGTTGCTCTCAGCCCTTCCATGGCCCGAGGCGGGACTGAGAGCTCTGCTCCTCCCTCCCCATGGCCCCAGACGGGGGGTGGTGCTGAGAGCTCAGTCTGGCCACGGGTGGGGGCTGAGAGCTTGGCCCTGGCCAGGCCTGTGGCGGAGCTCTTGGCCTTGGCCGGAGCTCTGAGCCCAGAGCCCTACCCCTGTTCTGCCCCCACTCTGTCTCTTTCCCCTGAGGCCCCACCCCCTGCTCACTTCTTTCCTCCCCCTCCACTGAGGCCTCAAGACCAGAAAAGCTTCTCTATCCCCAGGGTGTAGTGGGGGGAGATTTTTCCGGGGACTCAAATTGGCCAGGGCTCCCTGGGCCGTGTGGTAATCTGCCACTTCCCCCCCAGCGGTGTGAGGTTTGAGGAGGCTTAGCTTCCCCCAGGCTCCATTACATGCCGCCCATGTGTAGGATCTCTTTGGATCATGGCTTTTGTCTCTGTAGAAGGTTTCCCTATTCAGAGAAAAGGCTGGCTTGTTATGGAAGGTTATAAAAATTATATGGGTGAAAGCTGTACAACTAACTTGGAAGAAAAAAACATATGCAAATCATTTCCCCAGTTGTCTTCCTATAGTAATCCATATACCCAGATTCTTGAATTAGACCCTCACACATTCAAATTGATTAAATGGAAGTTTCTCTAGATCTTGCCTGGAATAATGCTCAGAAAGAGCCATTGGAGAGAGTAAGATCAGAAGAGAAAGGAAAAGCTGACTTGGTGGACATCTTTAGATTAGCCAAGCTTTAATTTTTTTTTAATGATGCTGGAATATAAGAAGTGAGGAGAGGTCCCAAACTTTGGTATTTTAGTGGATTGCATCTTCAGGCTAAGTCTGATCTTTTCCTTTTTCTTCTTGACTGATAGGTGACCTCAGGAACAAACCTACAAAAAGCCTTTTATGACTAACATTTCTTTTGGAGTTCTTCACTGGTTAACTGGCATCCAGTCAATGAAGTTGACAACAGTCAACCAAAGAAGAATTCGTCCACATTAGAATTGTTCTTACATTCAGCAATCACCATTAAAAAGTCAACATACAAAACAGCTAACATATAGTGGTATCGAATTCACACAATATTCCCTATACCTAGAAAAGAAAATACATATGGTATCCCAGATACTAATATGAGGTAACGTTGCTAAATTTTATTTCTTTATTTTTAATGGTGACCATTATATCTTACCTCTGTGGCCATCTGCTAGACATTTCAAAAGTATAACAGAAAGCCATCAATATATAAATAAATAAATTGGAATGAATGTTCTGTCCTTGCCTGTTAGCACCCAGAGAGTGTATCTCTGAATGTGTTTAACATAGTATTGTAAGTTGCTTTGAGATCTGTACACAAAGAACACTTTATAAAAGTTAGTTGTTATTAGTATTATATAAGGCTTTTTCCAAAAACATTCCGACTGTTGCTAGCCCCAGTACAGTTACATCAGATTAGGAAAAGCAGAAACACTAGTGTAGAAAAAATATTGGCAGACCTTTAACTATTCTGTCATCTGCACCATTAGATGGTGGCTAAAATCCATACTGAGGCACCTAAATAACTGGTCTGATTTTCAGAGGTACAGAGCTTTCAAGTTAATAGTACAGTAGCTCTGAATATTTACTTTAGAACTTTTGAAAATCAGATCACTTTTATATATGTGCCTAAATTTAGACACCTACGTTTGAAAATTTTGACCTTTAGCTCTAGTTCCCTTTGAGTGATTGTGTACCTATACATTCCACTGCAGGTGTATGTGCGTCCAGAGCACTCTAGTCGGAGACTGTTGACAGCAGTACCACAAGGCGGTACATGTGCCATTGTTCACTGAGCCTAGGGTGTAAAAGGGGAATGTCCACAGACTGCCTCTCAGTTCCTTCTCACCCCGCATGGCAAGAGTTGCAACTCCCTGTAGCTTTTGCTTAGGTTTGTCAGCTTTTGAGAAATTACTCCTGTATAATGTATACAGTTAATTTATTAGTAGTTTATAGTGTAGTTAGTGGAGTTATAGACTGGGGCTCTGGTGGATTTATTATGAAGGAATCTCCAGGCTTCAAGCAGTGGGCCACGTGCAGGGCCATTACCCTGTTAGGATGGACACAAAAAGCTGCTTGATCTGCCTTGGTGAAGTGCCTTTGAGGGACAAATACCCTGTGTGTAACTCGTTCCCCACCAGAACGAAAAAAACAGAGAGATTTTCACCTCAAAGTGCATCTGATGAAGGAGTCAATCTGTCCTGTGTCAGAACCAGACCTTGACTACTAGAGATCAGATTCCACATTGACGAGGAATGCCTCTCCAGCTCCAAATCATAAATCCAGGGATAACACCATTCCTTGTTCTCCATGCCAGCCTCACTGAAGTGCTCCAGGCATTCTGACTCTGATAGACAGTCAAAGTCCCAGTCCTTGCCTCGCAAGAAGTACTCAAGTAAGTCCTCTGGTGAGGAGTCAGAGCTTAAATGCAAGCATAGGCCTTCCCCGGCGCTGTTTGATGCAGAAGTATTGACTCTGGCTTCCCCAGGGCCATCAAGACTGTTGTCTTCATCTTTATCATATCTGTCTTTTCTGCATCCAACAAACTGGGCACTGGTGGCACTGTCACTGAGCACTTACCTTTGACTTTGCAGGCCCTTCTATTGGCAGAGGACCTACAGTGCATTCCACTGTTGCAACGCCCAGCACTGCCATTGGCATTGTCGGCATAATCTCTGCAGCATTGATGTCTTTGTCTTCTCACCCTTCAATTTCGGCATCGCTGGCTCCGCCAATACCATTGGCACTTCCAGCTCTGATTCCATCATCAGTGTTCCAGCCTGCTTCGTTCACTTGCTCCCTTGATGCCGTAGGATCACCAGTAGGTGTGCCCATTACCGAGACCCCCGCATACACCAACAGGGACTGCTCCTCCATTTACTGTGAAGAGTTACATCTCTTCCTCTGATTTGGACCATGAAAGGCTGGTATCCCTACTGAGGTTTCAGTCACCCTATATACCTTGTTTTAGAGACATTAGGACCCCACATTAGGACTAGCAAATGATGTATTACCCTCCATGACCTTACTGGTCCTGGGATGTTCTAGAGAATCCAGACCTCCATCGGAGCTGTGATCCAGGAGGAGGTCCCCTTCTCCTTTACAGGAGTCCTCCAGAGAAGCCCCTTTTACAATACCACAGCCTCCTCTAGTGCCTGGGGAGGAAGGAGAGATAATGGAAGAACCCCTAGATGTGTTCCACACTCCCACATATCCTCTTCTCTGGCTGAGACTGCCATCCCAGAATCAACATTCCCTCTTCTGGAGAATTTCAAGGTCTTCCAGGACTTTATAAGGAGGGTGGCCACATCCCTGGGGGTGTAATCAGAGGTTGTGCAAGACAAACCCTGTAAGCTCTTGGACATATTACAATCACCTGTCCTAGGAAGAATTGTCCTTCCTATTAATGAAGCCTTGCTGGAACTGGCCAAAACCCTTTGGCAGATTCCAGCTTCCATCCTCCCAACATTTAAAGTGGGTGGATAGACACTACCAGGTTCCTCACGAAGATTTTGACTATTTCTTTACCCAACCTGGTGGTTATGGCTGCCAGTGAATGTTCTAGGAAGTCACAATCTAAGGCTACCTCCAAGCATAAAAGAATGCAAGAAACTTGATCTGTGTTGCAGGAAGGTTTACTCCACTACTAGCCTTCAGATGATGGTGTCTAATTTCCAGGCACTGTTATCCAATAAATGTTTGTTTATTGGTCAACAATTTCCAGATTCACTGGCAAATTGACAGAGGAGTACAGCGAGCAGTTTTTAGCCATCATTACTGAAGGTCACCTCACTGCTCGGACATCGCTCCAAGCAGCACTGACATGGACTCACCGTCTATAGCTACTGTCATCTCCATGAGATGTTCCTCTTGGC